CAGCCCCCTCCTACTTCGAAACCTAATAACCCACGCAGGAAAAGTACCCCGACGGCATCTCGAGAGCCAGAGATTAGAGAGAAAACGATGGCCCCCGCCGGGGCTGGAGAGCTGGGGTTCGTGTTTCTCCCCGCAAGCCTTGGCGAGTAAACCCGCAAAGGACGCCTTGCTAGGGGAAAGTTGTCTTTAGCGACTGAAACAGCGCAGAAACAGCCGGCAGGCGCCCCGCCACCTCTCTGCCTGCAAAAATACCCCCCCTCTTCGCCGGGGATTTCAAAGCACTGCTCCCCTCTCCAGAGCCAAGCGACCAGCACAAGCATGGCGTGGACTTGAATTCAGCATTAGCGATTCCAGCCCCGGTGACCGTCGCTAATTCAGAACACATACGGGGTGGCGGTCAACCGGCGTTGCACCGTCCCGTCCCGTCCCCCCCGCCCCCAGATAAAAAACCGACAGCAGCAGCACCACCACCAAAATCGGTCTTTCTGCTGTAGGACGCTCAAACAAGCCTCAGACCAAAAGTTTAAAAGAATACTCATTAACCAAGTGCTCCAATACACGCGAGTAACACATCTGTGTTAAGCGACCACTAGGGACTTCACACGAGTTCAAAGAAACTTGCAATACGCATCTTTAAAATATATCACCCCCACCACGTTTCTCCGGGTTTGTTTTACAGTGGGATGGCTCAGACTACCTCTGCGACTTTAATTTTTTTTTTTTTTTAGCTACGCTCAGGTTATTTTTGTAAAACCTCTGCCTGGTCAAGCCGGCGGGACAGTTAACCCGAAAGATTGGCGGAAAGCAGCGTTTTCGGCGCATGAAACATTTTTTTTTTCCCTGGCTCTTTTGCCCGGCGGGTTACATTTCCTCAAGTCCCAACAATTCCTGCCTAGGTCCCACCGGGCTCCAACTTTTCCTATCTCGCCAAACCCTGCAAGGTGGCGCTCTTTTCATTGAAAACTGATATTAGCCTTATAATAATAACATTTTGTAGAAAGTAAAGTTAAAGCGAAGCCTTCCCACGGGTGCTGCGGGGAGCAGACGGCGATGCCGAGCTGGCAGGAGCGGGGCTCCGTCTGAGCGAGGCAAACTTCTCTTTTTTTTTTTTTTTTTTTTTTTGGGGGGGGGGGGGGGGGGGGGTGTTTTTG